TAGAAGTGGAGTTGCTAGATTGTATGGTAGTTCTATTTTTAATTTTTTGAGGAATCTCCATACTGTTTTCCATAGTGGCTGTACCAATTTACGTTTTAACCAACAGTGTATGACGGTTCCCTTTTCTCCACATCGTTGCCAACACTTATTGTCTTTTTGATAATAGACAGTCTGATAGATGTGAGGTGATATCTCATTGTGGTTTTGATTTGCATTTCCTTGATTAGTGATGTTGACCATCTTTTCATGTGTCTGTTGGCCACCTGTGTATCTTCACTGGAAAAATGTATATTCAAGTCCTCTGCCCATTTTTAAATTGGGTTATGTGTTTTTTTGGTATTAACTTGTACAAATTCTTTATATATTTTGGATATTAACTCCTTAGTGGATGTATGATTTACAAATATCTTGTCCCACTCAGCAGGTTCCCTTTTCATTTTGTTGTTGGTTTACTTCATTGTGCAAAAGGTTTTCAGTTTGATGTAACAATTTTATCTTTCTTTTTCTTTTTCATTTGAGAGAGAGAGAGAGAAAGAGTGTGGGAGAGGGGTAGAAGGAGAGAGAGAGAGAGAAAGAGAGAGAGAGAGAGAGAGAGAGAGAGAATCTTAAGCAGGCTCTATGCTCAGTGCAGAGCCCCACATGGGTTTTGATCCTGTGACTCTGGGATCATGACCTGAGCTGAAATCAAGAGTTGGATGCTCAACTGACTGAGCCACACAGTTGCCCCAGTTTGAGGTAATTCTATTTGTTTATTTTAGCTTTCGTTTTCCTGCCTGAGGAGATGGGTCCAAAATATATTGCTAAACTAATGTCAAAGAACTTATTGCCTACATTTTCTTCTAGGACTTTTATGATTTCAGGTCCTATACTTAGATCTTTAATCCACACTGAACTGATTTTTGTATATGGTGTAAGATAGGGTCCAGTTTTTTTCTTTTGTATGTAACTGTTCAGTTTTCCTAACACCATTTATTGAAGAGACTGTTTTTTCCCTATTGTATATTCTTGCCTCATTTGTCATAGATTAATTGAACTTTATGTGACTTTTCTGGGCTTTCTATTCTATTCTATTAATCTATGTGTCTGTTTTTGTGCCAGTATCCTACTGTTTTGATTACTATAGCTTTGTAGTATAGTTTGAAATGAGAGAGCTTTGTGCTTCTTTCTCATGATTGCTTTGGCTATTCAGCATGTTTTTAGTTCCATACAAATCTTACGAGTATTTGTTCTAGTTCTATGAAAAATGCCATTGGTATTTTGATGGAGATTGCATTGAATCTGTAGATTGTTTGGGGTAGTATGTACATTTTAACAATATTCTTTCATTCTACAAGCATGGAATATCTTCCCATTTATTTGTGTTGTAGACTTTGTATTGGATTTTGTAAGGGGTGCATTTTGTGAGTTAGGGAAACAGTGAGTGGAAGAAAATAAATTTCTCTTTAAGGAATAGACAACATAATAGTTGAGGACAAGGATGTCTAAGCTCCTAAATTCAAATATTTTCATATTTTAATTTCCTAACCTGATATATTTGTGATTAAATAAAGGTTGTGTTTATAAAAATGTAAACATCCATTTAAATCGCTCGATTCTGAGTCCCTAGACAGAAACAATGATGTCATCAATAGTAATAATAATGGTAGTAACTGCTAACGTTTCCTAAGAACTTGCTGTGCACCAGTCACCATGCTAAGTGGTCTGTGGGCATTAACTTTTTAATCCCTTAAATCAGAGCTATTCCTAAATCAATCTGCATGAAAAATGTCAAACTTTAATCTGAAAATAAAGTACACTGTATAATGCTTAGAAATAATGTTATAAATATGGTATGTGTAACAATTATATATAAAGTAAAACTTAAACTGTATCATATTTAATACATTGCTATGTACTCATGTACGTATTTTTACAAGAATGGGTTCATGATACCTAAACTTTTAAAAAACTTTAGGGGTGCCTGGCTGGCTCAGCCGGTATAGCATATGACTCTTTTTTTTTTTTTCTTAATGTTTATTTATTTTTGAGACAGAGAGAGACAGAGCATGTAATAGAATGAGGGGAGGGGTCAGAGAGGAGACACAGATCTGAAGCAGACTCCAGGGAACTCTGGAAGCTGTCAGCTTTGAAACCGACATGAGAACTCGAACTCACGGACCATTGAGATCATGTGACCTGAGCAGTCGGGGCGGCACCAGCCAACTGAGCCACCCAGGCGCCTCTTTCTTTCTTTCTTCCTTCCTTCCTTCCTTCCTTCCTTCCTTCCTTCCTTCCTTCCTTCCTTTATTCCTTCCTTTCTTTCTTTCTTTCTTTCTTTCCTTTTCTTTTTCTTTCTTTCTTTCTTTTTAGCATATATAACAGATTAGATCTATAAATGGTCATCGTGAATTCAAGCTCCACACTGAGCCTAGAGCTTAAAGATTTTTTTTAAAATACATTTTATATTTAGAAGTGTTTTAGATTTATAGAAAAATTGCAAAGATAGTACAGAGTTCCCATCCCTTTTCACCCTCTTCACCCATTTTCTCCTATTATTAACATCTTAATTCACATTCCACACTCATTACAATTAATAAGCCAATATTAATAATTAACTGAAGTCTGTATTTTATTCAGATTTCCTTATTTATTTATTTATTTATTTATTTATTTATTTATTTATTTATTTAGAGGGAGAGAGAACAAGGGTGCCTGAGTGGGGTAGGGGCAGAGGGAGAGGGAGAGAGAGAATCCCAAGCAGACTCTATGTGCAGCATGGAGCCAGATGTGGGGTGCAATCTCATGAATTGTGAGATCGTGACCTGAGGTGAAATCAAGAGTCGGACACTCAACCAACTGAGCCATCCTTCCCCTAGATTTCCTTAGTTTTTTCCTAATGTCCTTTTGCTGTTCCAGGATCCCATCTAGGATGCCACATTACATTTAGTTATTCAGCTGCTTTCAGTTCCTCTTGGATGTGACAGTTTCACAGACTTTCCTTGTTTTTCATGACCTTAACAGTATTGACAAGTACTTGTCAGTTGTTTTATAGAATGTCCCTCAGTTGGGATTTGTTTAGTATTTAAAAAAATTTTTTTTAAGTTTATTTATTTACTTTGAGAGAGACAGAGAGAGTGAGTGGGGGAGGGGCAGAGAGAGAAGGTGGGGCAGAGAATCTGAAGTAGGTTTTGCGCTGACAGCAGAGACCCAGGGTCTCAAATCAGGAATCATGACCTGAGCCACAGTCAGACTCTTCACTGACTGAGCCATCCAGGCACTGCTGTCTGGTTTTTTTTTTTTTTTTAATGATTAGACTGGGATTATGGGTCTTGAGAGGAAGACTTAATATACTTAATCATTTGCTTATATCGATATTGACTCATGGATATTTACTTTATATTTTGCGTTCTAATCCATGCCTTTTTAAAAATGTACTTTCATGGCTAAGTAAAATGTGGATAGCTTTCGAAGTCAACAGAAGTGAACAACATTTAGAGGTTATGCAGTATGTATTTAATCAACCCGCCACTTTTTCCTTATTTCCAACAATGCTGAAATAACATCCTTGTGCATTCATTTTTGTGCACTCGTGTGACTATTTTTAGTGTATTATTCTAACCCCATCTCTAAGACACATTCATTATACCTGAGCTATGTTCCCTTTCTTCAACTATACACTGCGTTCTGTAGCTTAGGCGGTTTTCTCTACCGAGAATGCTCTTCTGCTATCTTTGCCCACTCAATTTCCCTATTTGATTCAGGGCTCAGCTCCAAGGCATCTTGCTGTAGAAGCTCTTCTGTAGTGTTTTGAAGAGAATTTTATGGTTCCATCCCACTTCTCTTTGTTGTGTATGTATTATAATACTCACCATCTGAGCCTCCTGTTTTATCCCAGGACTTTTTCCTGGGTAGTTTATTAATGGGCAGAAGAAGTGAGATCAATCACACTCATCTGTGTACTCCATTGCAGCGATGAGCCCATAAAATAACTAGTATATTTTGACTTTGAAGCGAAGAACCTGAGTAACTGACAAATTTAACTGTGCTCAATTTCATGGCTATTCTTCCTTTCTTTCACATATATTGTTGTTGCTACATGCTTCAGGGAGTTGAATATAGGTGCTAGTTTTTGTTTAAAGTGCAAATAACTGTGCTGTAGTTTAAATGTAATGTTTTCCAGCTGTCTGTCAAAAATGTTACTGGAAGGCTTTGGTATTACAGTGTCTTACAAAATGGGCATTTTAATGTGCCAAGTATTTATAGGAAATCGTATATGAAAGCAGGAGAAATGAAACGATTACATAAGGCCCCTTATACTTCTGACTTTCTTTTAAGTAAGCAGGGGGCGTTATGTACCCTAAATATTATGGTTAGTAATAAGAGGTGCATGTCAAAAAGCAAAACAAAAACAAAGCAAAGAGACAATGTTAGTTTGGTTGTGACGCTGTCAGCTGAGGCTAAAGATCTCATACTGCTTTGTGATGACACACCCAGACTGTACTTAGGCAGATTCGCGCCCCTTCCTTTAATACTTGGAGACGAGGTAACCCACACATCCGTGACCCCCCAACTAGGTTGGAGGAGGCCTTGCCGCAGGCGCGCGCGCACAGACCGCCACCCGCGGACACCTGGCTCCGGGCTCAGCCAGGCGGGGGGCCCCGCCTCCGATCTACCGAAGCCCAATCATCTGGAGAGTCTGGGGTACGTCCCGCGCCGGCCACGCCCCCAGCCTGCGGGGCGGGGGGCGTCCTTAAGAGCCGGCCGGCGGGCCCCCGACGCAGTAGGGGGGTGCGGGGCTGTGGGCTGGAGGCCTGAGTGCTGTGCTCTGGGGTGCCGGCTCGCCTCCGCCTTCCTCCTCGCGGCAGCCTCCGTGCCCTGCGCCGCCGTCCCACCGGGGGCTCCACCGCCCTCTCCTCGGCCTCACCAGCCCGCCGGCCGGGCGCTCGGCGGCTCTTCCGTGAGCCCGCCGGGAACTCGCACCCCTCGCGCTCCCCTGGCTCCCGAGGGGGCCGCCTCGGGCCATGGTGCCCTTCCCCGAGGAGCCCGCCGCCGCGCGGGGGACGAGCGAGGCGCAGCCGCCGGGCCCCGCGCCCACCGGGGCAGCTCCGCTGCCGGGCCCGGGACCCTCGGACGGCCCCGAGGCGGTCGTCGAGAAGGTGGAGGTAGAGCTGGCGGGACCGGCGGGCGCTGAGCCCCCTCAGCCTCCCGAGGGCGGCTGGGGCTGGCTGGTGATGCTGGCGGCCATGTGGTGCAACGGGTCGGTGTTCGGCATCCAGAACGCCTGCGGGGTGCTCTTCGTGTCCATGCTGAAGACCTTTGGGTCCACGGACGATGACAAGATGGTCTTCAAGACAGGTGAGGCGCGGAGCCGGCCGGGGCCAGCCCGGGGTAGGGGGAGAACGGGCATGGGGCCCCTGAGCGCATCCCGCGTGCGGAGTGTGCCCGCGCCGGCTTGTGCGCCTCGGTGGGTCCCTGTGTGTGGGAGAGCGTGAGAGAGGTGGGTCTGTCCCATCGCAAATGCAGCCTATCGCTCCAGGGGCCTCGGTGTGCCTGGCTTTGTAGTGAATACAGATTTGGGCACAGTGTGTTTGGAAACAAGCCGCAGAACTTACTTCCCAATAAGCAAGAGTAGGGTTTAAGAGTCTACGTATACTTTCCTCTTAATTGTCGAGAGCAAACAGAACCTTCCAAACCCAACGACACCGCACTGTGATTTTTGCAGTCTCTTATGCGACCGTGACCGTTGGGTTTTCGTTCATGTGCCTCCGGGGCTGCAGAGGGGCGTGTGTGCTGAGGGGAGGCACGGTTGGCGAGATTAAAGAGATTTATTCCAAGGTCAAGGGGAGTTCCCCAAGGGAGCTCTGCCAAGAGCCCTGGTTTCGTGGTTTGTTTGTTTGTTTGCTTGTTTTGGGGGGGGGGGGGCACTGTGTGCTAAATATAGAAAGCATAGGAGGCAGCCAGATCAGGGACTGGGAGGAGGAAGGTGAAGGGTTGCCCTTTCCTGCTGTGTTGTCATATTTAACCATATACTAGACTAGATGAAAAAGTGCAGACTCAACATTTTTTTTTTCCCTGTAGAGACTTATAATGTGATCTCTTGACAGGCAAAAAACAAGTCCAAGACCTTTTGTATATAACTCTTTTACATACATTATTGTACTTCAACCTGCAAGGCAGGTGTTATCAGCCTTATTTAAGAGAGAAAACTGAAGCTTGGTAAAATAGTGTCTTCGTGAGTAGCAGAATGGAGATAGAACACACATCTTATGACTTAAAGGGCTAAGGGATTTCCATGACTAAATAAGGCTCCTCCCTGCCATTTGAGGAACTTTATATGATTAATAGTCTTTTTTTAAACCTTAATTTTCTATTTTTAGTGACTGTTCCTTAGGACTTTAGTGTGCATACAAAGAACATGCAAGAGACTGTTCTAACAAATTCTAAGGCAGAGGTAATGTTGGGAGTTTTAAAACCTTTTATAAATACTATTATACTGTATGTATCATTCTGCAGTGTGCTTTTCTTCTACTCTGCAATGTTTGCAATTTATCCGCATAATATCTCAACTTGAACTGGTAGCTTAAATTCTTTACATTTTAGCTCCAGGTTTTCCATTGTATGATATATTATACTTTACTAATGCATTCTCCCTTTAATAAACGTTTAGATTACTTCCACACTTAATATAAACAATGCTGCAATGAATATTCTTGTACACTGTCTCTTTGCATATGTGATAATGTACCATATTTAATTGGGAATTTCTGTTCCTTAAACAGTAGCTCTTGAACTACTGTGTTACGCAGGTCACAGGGCTAGTAATAGGCTAATGTAATATCCTATACTTATTTTTATGGAAGGCAACTGTTGAAAGTCTAGCAGGATTGATATGCATGTGCAATATTGAACAAAAAAAATTTTTTTTTATATGAGCATGGGTATCTGGTAGGGAGAAGCTCAAGGAGGCAGATGGAATTGGTAGAGTCAACATTTTAAGACTGGTTCCTTTAGCATTTAGCATATTCTTGACTAGGATTACAGATTTTTAATGCAGTCAAGATAGCAAGACAACAGTCTTTTGTTTACCAGTGTTTCTGCCAACTCAGGTGAGTAGGTCCTTTCTATCTGTGGATTTTTTCTCCTTCATTTTATGAGAGTGAGAGTGTGTGAGTGAGCAACTATGGGGGAAAAACCATAGGAGGGCCAGAGTTTTACTGTGTCGCAGCCTTGACCTATCTTCCATCCCCAAAGTTCCTGTTGGCTACAATGTTCCAACACAGGCCACCTGAGGGGGGACGGAGGGGACAGGAACCTGCTCTCTTGAGCTTTTTGAAGCTATTTTCAGTTTTGATGAATATCCTTCTCCATTTACTCAGTTGAATCCTTGACGATTTTCAGTTATGTTTGTGTATATGTGGGTGTATATTGTATATATAGTTATACAAATATGCCAGCTAAATACTGAAAATCTTTTTACTTCTGCACATGACTCCCATGTATGGTTGTGCCCTTGCACAAAGGTGCCCAACTCAGGGTAAGTGGTGCCTGAAAACCAGCCTGTGCTCTGGGTGCCCGCCTATATACTTGTAATGGCCCTGTATGACATAGCAGCTACATTGAATCTTTACTTGGATACTATGTGATACAGAGCTGATAACTGATAAAATTTAAGGTCTAAGGAAGAACAAAGATTTAACCTCATCTGTGAAAAAATGGTGACAAGATACTCTTTAAGCCAGTTAATACTGAGACCTACCCACCCCCTGCGCCAGCCCAACACACACACACACACACACACACACACACACACAC